AGAGACTTCTCTCGGGCTACGAGGAGAGTTTGGCTAGCGGGTCGCTAGAGACTTCTCTCCGTTTTCACTGAGAACGGATTTCTGCGACCAAGCTAAAAAGACCGGAGTGTGCTTTTAGCTAGGGCTTTGCTGTCGTGTGAGGGAGCGCTAGCGAGTGTCTTTGGTAGTTGCAAGTAAAGTGCTAACGCAAGGGTCTTGCCGGTGAGAGCCTGCGCTTGCTACTTGCTACTGGTTTTCTTGAGCTAGCAAACGCTAGCTAAAGAAACCGTCACCGCTTAACCTTGGGAGGAGAACCTGGGGTTGGTGGTGGGCTAGCTAGTAAGGCTAACGCGCGATTATGTGGATGAGAAGCCGCACGAAAATCGAAAAGGGCGTAACAAACATTTCATTTCGGTACATATGCCATGTGAGCCACATGCAGCATGTATGTTTCACACCGCTATACTAGGCTCAAGTGTGGATCAAACCGCCCGCAGACTGTAGCCACTGTAGTGGAAAAGAGTGCCGCCAGTGGTTAGGTTTAGTTGGGAGTAGAGTAGATTTGAGACGCCATGAAGATCGGTCTAAAACTTTCATCTTGGAATCAAGAAATTCTGTTGTGTGACGTACCAACATATGCCAAGAGAGGTGGTCAGAGATGGAACTCTTCATATTTGCATTGAGGGCCTCTATGAAGGCCAGAAGAAACGCGAACGGCTCGATCCCGAAAACCTTTTCATCGCAGAGCAGATGCGCATGCAATGGGTTCCGCACCCTGTACCAGAAGCGCGTTACAACAATAATCAATGGTCAACTCTGCAACCCATGCAACAGGGAGAAGGTGCAGCGCTTGCTGAAGAACGCAAGAGCATCCCTTTTCAGATCAGGGCTTTAGCAAATTACTGATGCTGCAAGAAGGGGAAATCCCCACACTCCGAACTTTGACCTCAATGCGATGGAATATTGAGCTTTGAGACACAGGCTGATTCGGCGCTTTCCTATCCCATCGCCATTTTGGTGTGTAATGAATGTATTTCTTGCGCTCCCTGACGCACGCTGAGAGGGGGTCCCTATGTCTCACTATTACACTCTACGGTTTTCTTTGGCGTTCTAGTGCAGATTGCACTACTCCTCGCACTTTGCTGTGGTGTGTTGTAAAAGTCCAAGCTCCTGTGAGATCGTTTCACGCAACGAGTTGCAAGTCAACGTGGGGGTGAAGAAGTCTAGGAACCTCACCCTTACTCATCACAGTTGCTGTGCAGTGTAGATGCTTTGTCACTCCAAGTTGTTCCAATGCGGTTTGGTTCAAGTTCCCCTGTTTAGCTGAATCGGCAGTGCATAAGTATGTATAGCTGAGCCATACTACATTGTCGGCTTACAGAGACATGAGCTTGGACCACAAGTGACGAAACGTTGGGAAGTGCAAAGAGAGCGAATTTGGTGGAGTGAAGCCTTATATCGTATCACCTACTCACCCTGTTACAAGCATAAGCAAAGACTAATGGAGCGGAAACTCAAAGTAGCAGCAGCCTGTGCAGAATTATTTGCTACTGATGTGGGCCTTTTTCCAATTCCGGTTCTGGCTTCTGCGGGGCGCCCGCGGTAACGGGTAGCCTAAGAAGGCAGAAAAGTTTTGGTTTCGAGAAAGCAAGCATATGTTTATAAGGAACTATCTGAAGGGCCTCAACCTCTTGAAAATCATTGGTTTAAACGTTCTGACGGGAAACATAAGCAAAGACTAACGGCGCAGGAATTTAAATCAACAGCAGCCTTTGCAGGATTATTTGCTACTAATGTGGTCCCTTTTCCAATTCTGGTTCTGGCTGTTGTGGGGTAGCTAAGGTACGGGGTGGGCCAGGAAGGAATGAAATTTTTTTGGTCTTAGATAGGCAAGCATACAAGAATCTATAGGTCGTTGAAGGGCCTGAACTTCTTCAAAACCTTGGGTGCAGAGATTGTGAAAGCAGTAAGCATAAGCAAGGACTAATGGAGCAGGAACTTAAAACAGCAGCCTGTGCATAATTGTTTCCTTAAAACAGCAACCTGTGCAAAATTGTTTGCTACTCCAGTTTAGATTACTTGTTTCACTCTACTATTAAAAGGAGTTCCCCGAACAACTTCTTTAAGTGTAGTCCCTTTTTCCCATACGACATTCCATCTCCTTGAAAGTATCTACCAAACACTTTTTTTGAATGTGGCCCCTTTTAAGAAAGTAGTCAGCGGATTAAAGCGGAGTGAAGTCAAAACTTCAAAAGCAATAGAGCAGCTTGGGCGGGCAGCTTGGCAATTTGAACACGAGGCCTTCGCGTACTCGGAGCGCCTGGGCTTCTTGACCTCCGACCTCCTCCGTGCATTGCCTTGCTTTGATGTTGCTGTTTCTGTTTCTTCATGTTTCTTCGAAGTGACTGTCCTCCTCCTGAGAGCTTTCAAGGACTTGGAGGGACTCTGCAGGCAGCATGCTGAGGTATATTTATCAAGAATCGCTTTTCTTGTCATTCCCCTACCTTCCTTTGCATAGGCGAACTTGGTGCTGAAGCTGCCACGCCTGGCGGCCACGGAGGTCTCGCACCCCAAGTCTGCCGCTGGTAGCTGGAGGCACGGACATCAAGCATGCAAGGGGTCCCTTGAAGATCTCTTTGCTTGTCCTCTCTTCCTCTTTTCAGGTCCTGGGCAGGGCTGCGGCGCGTGAAGGCTGTCAGATGGGAACATGTGCGGTCTCTGGAGTTGCGGGGCTTTCTGAGTGAGGTGGAGGAGGTCTCTGGCTTAGGGGGGACCTTCCGGATCTCGAACTTGGACACGTTTGGCGCCACCGATGCAGAAGTGCTTGCTTCCCTCGAAGAGGCAGCAAGTCTGCGCACAAAAAGGGAGAGCTTTCTGAAAGATTCGACTTCTAGGTTGCTTTCCGATTGGTAGTAGCAGAGCAGCAGATCACAACGCCAAAGCCTCGTGGGACAAGCTTCAACGAAGGCAATTTTGGCAGAGTTTTGCACAGCTTGGGCATGGGCCCAGGCTCACTGTGGATTCAGCCCGCAGCCTAGCCATACCTGGCTCCTCTAAATCCCGCGTGGAGTCGCACATCGCAGCATGCCGCAGCCAGGACCAGCTTTTTCCCATCCTCACATCCGTGCTTTCTGCAGCGGAGGCATGGGTCTGGCTTCCCCACTTCCCGAAGTCTGAAGTAAACTTGGAAGAACACACTTAGAGTAAAGAACCCATTTCTGAAAGTCTTCTGAGCTGGCTCGCAATGCATTCGCCTGCCCTTGAGATGTTGTCTTTTTTTAATGATAACATCTCTTCCTTTGCAGGGCCGCGAGAGCCGCACCTCGCTGCTGAGCGCCCGGAGCTTGGGGAGTGCACGGGGAGTGCACGGGGAGCGCCCGGGGGAGGAAAGCAAGGGAGGAAAGCAAGCGAACAGCAAGGAAAGCGGTTGGTTTTTTGGAGAAAACGTGCTTTCTGCTGTTTTCTGGTGAGCAGGTTCATGCGCACCTTTCAACCCCTCTCTTCACTTTGAACCTTACCCTTGAAGCCTGCTCCAAGCTGCAATGCCGACGTATGATCTTCTTGTGATGTTTTCTGGTGCTTTACCTAGCATAGGCTGTGCCCGTTTTGGGGTACAAACTACCGCAACCCCAACATCCAAATATTAGTCCCAGTAAATGCATGTCCCAAGCCGAAATACCACCAACCCCAAATGGGCAAGGCTAGGTTGAATCATTTTGTGGGTCGCCATAGCTTGCGAGGCTTCTGCCGAAGCGTCATATGGGTCGGTGGGTGGGGCTTTCAATAATAATTTGATTTTACCATTAAACCAAAATTGGTGTCATGTTTCTTTTCTTCTTTCTTCGCACTTTGCGTGCATTGCTTGAGAAAAATGTCGGCTCCATACACAAGGCAGCATAGAACTTTTGCAAGTTATTATAACTCTTTCCAACATATCACATGATGTGTTGTTTATCAGGTGTAGGTACATTTCTTGTTCAACATCTCGGTCGTCAAGCTTCTTCAAGTCATATTGGTGTGTTTGTGATTGAGCGTTCATGTTGCTTCAGCTTGTAATCTTTAATGCCGCAACTACAAGCTGGACAAGTAAACATTTCGTCAATAACTTTGTTCATTCGGTGCTTTGGGCTTGTCAGCCTTGTTCTCACGATGCAGTTCTTTCTGTCCTCTACATAAATTACATGTTTTATGTGCTCACTTGCTTTGTCAACTTTATGCATGATTTGACAACGACTGAACATATTTGTTCAAGCCTTTGGGCTTTCTCTCTGCACACATAACACTTTTTTATACTCTCTGTCAAACCTCTCAACCTTCTGCATGATTTGACAATCACTACAATTTTTCTTTCACTCAGTACACACTCAAAATAATGTATTTAGACTTCATCCCTTTTGTTGCATTTCCTTAGAACACGTCGGTAAAGAGCACACGAGAAATCATAATATTCGTTGTAACAAACAACATTATGATTCTCCATTCTGCGTCGCTTCTGATTCACTTCTTTGGCTATCCAAGAACCATGCAACGTTTTACCCGCTCTAACAACCTGAAGCCAAAATCAAAGTCATATGACGAATGGTGTCGCTCTGTCTTTTTTTTTTTTTTTTTTGCTGTGGTATGTATTCACAATGTAAGCGATTATTTCGGTCAACTCTTTGGATACTGGCTTCGGGTTTCGAAGTCTGTGTCATATGTAAACTCTGTTGTGCTATTGTGGACATACAGCTGATTGTATCATGCTTCTAGTTGTTGTGCATTGGTTGGTCATACACACAGTTGCTAACATTTTCATTTGCATTTCGGACACATTCAAAGGAAGGCAAAGGTTTTCAATGCAATGAAGTAGCAGGTTTGTATAGCAATAGCATATGTGTTTTCCCAGTTGACATCGTTGTCTATTACTTCGTTGATGGTTTTGCATGTGCTGCGTGACAAGTATCCACAAAACAACATCATAGACACAATCGCTGACATCTATGAATCTAGTTTACATATCTGCTTCAGTCTCTAAGTAATTTGATACATCCAATACACTTGTCGATGCTGGACATTGTTTCGCACTTGCTTTTGTAAATGTCATGCTTACACATGCTTTGTTCACTATCAGTCTAATATTCGCTGTCACTCGTTTCCGCAATATTTTACGAAGACCTGTATTTCTTGAAACAAACTTGCTAAGGAATCCCCAAACCTTGGGACTCAAACCCCTGAACCTTGGGACTCGCATCCCCTGACCCCTTCTCTCCTAGCCCCTGAACCGTGCGACTCGCCCCCTCTAACGCCCTTATCTTGGGACTCGCATCCCCTAATCCCTTTTGCAGGTGGACGAGAAAGACTTTCTCTACAGGCGAAATCCACTTCTCGTACAGGTGAAATCCGCTTATCGCCATAACGCAATCCCTACTAATTGAAGCATAACGAGCCACCCTGTGCGGTAGGGGGAAATCCACTGTTCAAGTATAGCCAACACCAGCTTTCACTGTGGAATATTCACAAAGCCGAAAAACCAGCACAGAACCTCTGTCAACTGGGCGGATTGGGGGGAAAAGGTTAGCAGGCAAGGCCCCCCTCCACATCCCTTCATGGAGAAACGAGCCCCCANNTGCTGGCCCCCTGCGCCAGCATCATCAGCATCATAGGGACCCCGTTTCTCCAATCTGAGGTTTTCCGGCACATTCTCAAGCCTTGAAAATTTGTTGCCCCGGCTTGCTTGGATGGATGGGGCTAGTTTTCCAACACCTCTGTGCTCATGACGTTTTTTTGCGGGTGGTTCTAGCGGGAATCCCAAACATCCTTCAAAAGTCCTTCTGTTGCGGGGGATCTGCTTCAAAAGCGCATGTGAGTTTTGGCTTGGTTTTGGATTGGGGTGCGGGAGGGCCCAGGCCTTTAGCAGCAACCCCGGGGCGTTGCCCGAATTTAGGCCTCGTGGCAGGGGCCGGCCCCGCGACCTTTGTAAGTAGCCAACAGCAAGAGACAGCAACAAGAACACGTAGCAGCAATGATAATAGTAAGAATAAGAGCAACTAACAAGGTAACAAGCACAGCAGCCAACAAGACACAAAGTACATCATGGTAGCACACCATTGTAGAAGTAAGAATGGTCGGAATAGTAGTGGTGAATCACAACAGTATAGTAGGGCTTGGAAAAGCGAAACTGACCCCCGGCAATTCTGATGATGCTGATGTTGTTTGGGGGGCCTTGTTCGTTGGCACCCCTGTGCCCGTTGGCCTGGCAGGCCTTGGGGCTAGAATCTGTGCTCATGAT